GGGGGAGCACACCTGAGCAGGAGCTCCTGGGTTATCCAACAAAGGCATCTGGGAGAGCCACGAGGAGGAAGCCAGTGAGCAGCTTTCCCCCATGGTGCCTGCCTCCTCCCCTCCTGCCCCTACTTACCTCATTGATTGGCTATGGCCTGGACAGGACCTATCAGCCAAATAAACCCAAGCTGCTTTTGGTTAGGGTGTGTTGTGAATGTAAACAAGTTTTTGTTTTGGTCCCAGGTGTAGGATATGTGACTGATTGAGATGGTCTACAGCAGCAAACTATTTGCCTCATGCGGGCTCTGAGAAGGGGCCCTTTGCCACAGATAGTTTAATTCTGAGGACTCTGGGAGGGAATAAAGGCCAGGGCCAGCAGAGAACATGTGGAGCTCCAAGAAACAAGGCTGCTGATGCTTCCCCCTGCTGCTCCTGATTGTTGGAGATTTCCTGAAGGGAGGGCTTGCCCTAAGGAACCCTACAACCCTAGCTATCAGGAAGTAACCCTAGCTATCAGGAAGTAGCTAACCCTAGCTATCAGGAAGTAGCTAAAGAGAACTCCTCTCCCTCTCCCCTGTGCTACCTGGTGCTGAAAGTGTTGGAAGGGGTTGGGGTGGGAAGGGAGGAAGAGAGATGAAGAAATGTAAATAGAGTTAGAAAGTACAACAACAATGGTGTTCATCACGTCAGTAGAAAGCAAACCAAAACAAAGACTTTGTATCAAAATTAAGCCTATAAATCAAGAGATGAGACATTTAAGACCTAGAAAAATAATCAAAATTAGTTTTGATCTGGTAACATCTTTGGTTGATAATAAAAATAAAACTCATACAAACTGAAGAACAAATGAATACATCTGGAAGCAATCCTTTCTCTAATGAGACAAATGTGACCAGCAAAGAGGCAAAAGATAAAATAGTTGTTTAGATAACAATCTTAGTGAAGTTATTTAACTCATAAGATCATATGGAAGCGAAAAATAAACAGGGGTAACTTGTAGTCTAGCCAATAAAATAGAGATACTGTGAGCAGTTTGAGGAGAACATGATGAAGCATGTAAAAGAAACGGCAATCCTAAATCAAATTGCCTTTGAGGTCTCCAGGTTCCATAGTCTATGGAGGGATGTGGTCTTTTATTCAGGACAACAATAAGACTGTTGGCAAACCAACATGAGTTTACTGTCACTATGCACTGTGTACCATGGAAACCACAAAGCCAAGTGAGAAAAAACTGAGGGGAAAGATACAACGGTCTATAAAGAAGCACTATATGCATAAGATTTGGAAGCAGAATAAGGTCCCTGTTATGAAGAAAATGCAAAGGTCAAACTCTTTCTCCAAATATAGCAGAGAACATATTTTTGGAGCAAGCGAGGGAGAAGTGTTGACCATCCTTTCCAGAATAACTAGTTGAGGGACCTTAAAGAGATAACAGCAAGTCAGGGGCTAATGTGTTCGAGGTCTAGAAACATTAAGATCTCGTCCTTTACCCAGAGTGGCAGAGAGAGAGAGTTCTATACATAAAAACTAAAGGGGGAAAAAGTTTACAGTCCTTTAATGGATAAAGAGGAAAAACTTACTTGGCTTAAAATTTAATACTACAGAAGTCCGATGCAAAGAGTAAACAAAGAAAATGCTAGAAAAAGAATGATTCATAAGAGTTCTGTGCTAATGGTGAAGTTGTAACTACAGCACTGTTGAATTACAGCAGTGAGGACCAAGGAGGAGGAAACCTTCTAAGGACAATGCAGAGCAAGAACACAGGAGAGAACAGAGAAGTAGGATAGCAAAGCAATGGGGTATTTAACTGAGAAGCTGACGCTATTTAAGTTACTAACTAACAAGCATGAGTGACACTCACTCCTCCCACGATTTTGTTTTTTGTTTTGGTTTTCTCTGTGTAGCTCTGGCTGTCCTGAAACTCACTATGAAGACCAGATTGGCCTTGAACTCACAGATGCGCCTGCCTCTGCCTCCCAAGCAATGGTGTGCACCACCATTGGCCGGATGATGCAATTTTTTGATAAAATTAAAAGTGAATTTTTGTAGGCAACAATGTATAAATAAAATCAGGTTCTCTATGATTTTTATGAATAACCAAAATACTGGTTTATTTAACACTTAATGATTTCTATAGCATTTTAAAAGAGAATACTACAATGTCTCTGTGATTGGCCACATGAAAGGAAGAATGGTTTGCTCTACAGTTGATGAACCACTTTGGAGAGATGGCTAAGGCTTTTTACTCAAAATTCAACACATACCACTGTTTCTCTCCACCAGGAAATCTAAGTTAGTTACAATTTATGACAAGTCACTGCAGAACACTGTATATATCTGAACATCACATTCCTGCCGATAACATAAATACTTCAGCTCTGAGCTGTTGGATTAATTCCACTTGAGAGAAACTATACACAGAAAAAGGATATCAGGGTTACTTAGCATATTGCCTTTTAAACTGTTAATCGAGACCATTTCCTTTATATCCCCTTTGGCCTTTACAATAACATCTCCTTTTCCTTACATGGTACCTTCATGCCCTTTGGCATAATTGCCAGTGCCATTTTGAAGGCCTGGAGCAGCCTTGTGTTTGCAGAATGTGATTGTGGCCTTTTAAAACTCATTCTAACTTAAGACATTTCCCCTTTGGTTATGATATTCAGCTCTCATAACAAATTGTTTTTACACAGGTACATACATGTATGTATGTATGTATGTATATGTTTATCTAGCATGTAAACTTCTGTCTTCTAGATGAGTTACGATAGTTGGGATTACTATTATCTTTTTTTTTTTTTGGCAGGGGGTGAGAAGAAAATGCCTGAGCCTCTCCTGGAAAACATGGCTCTCTTGAAATCATTTGGCTAAGATATATATGCTCTATAATTAAGCTCATTTTATGATTAATTGTACTGATAGCCACATATAGTACAAATTTACTGTCTCTGAGGAGCATAAATATATAATTCAGTATAATTATGCTTGATTAAATCTTGTATCATTTTCAATTAATAGAATCTCAACTCCTAATTTTTTTCTCTGTCAGTTCACAGTTTAAGATTTCTTTTAAACAAGAGATACATACTTTATATCTTATTGTTACTCCACGGTCATAAATCTGATAAAACTGTACAAAGAGCCAGGGATGCTGGCTTACACATACGATCTCAGGACTTGGGGGGCAGGGCCACAGAGACTGAGGTAAGTTTGAGACCAGCCTGAGTTGTAGAGAGAGTCCTGACCTGGGTTACAAACTGAGAGCCTAACTTTAAAAAAAAACAAAAAAAAAAAAAAAACTGCACAGAGAACTATTTCAGTGGTTTTCTGTTTTAATACATTTCAGATGATTTTCTTTAATGACAGCGTCATTAGCTTTGAGAAGTTTAAAGCAAACCATTCTTTTATTATAATTCATACATTAAATTTTCCCAGGACATCAGAATTTTTTCAATCAGCCTTTAAAAGTTAAAAGCAATCAAATAATTTTAAAAAATCAGATAATTGAAGATTTCTTAGGCCCGCCCAGTTTCTTCCTAGACCCATGTGGATAATCTTTCTTAACAACCATTCACACTTCTCCAGGGAAAGCTGTATTCCTTTCCACCTTTTCCTTTCATGCTAGCGTAAGCTGCCACAGCTACGTGGCATACATGTATAAGCTGTACACAGACAATGCTACATATACATTATACACGACGCGTCAACATGTATCCCATCACCCTTTGCCTAAAGGGAGTGTCCCAGAATGGAAGAACTAGTAACATGATAACGCTTCATTTTAATAAAGATGGTTGGGTGACTTCTTCTTTGCACATGACTGCAAAATTACAGGTTTAAAGTTACAAGTCCGTTTCTTCTGTTTGGAATCACATTGGATAATGTATCTCAAGTGAAAAAAAAAATGGAGAAATACAGGCAAGCCATCTTGCTCCATTCATGGTATGGCAAATATGTACCAATGATCTTTTTACATATAACCCCATGATGAATGATACAGTTAAGTCCCAGACTACACAATGTACAGTTATTATAAAAAGTTATGCGTTATGCTTCAGTACTAAAAATAAAATATATTCTCAAATAGTGAAAATAAGATATCCTTCATGTTTTTATGTCACATTTCCTGTGACCATGCCCCCCCCCCCAACACCTTTAATGAAATAATGTGCAACACTAGTAAACAGTGACAGAATGTCGGTGGCTTCTTGACAAGAACTGGCCTAAAACAAAACTGATTTATCTTGTCAATTTATTAAACCGTCTTCCTGATGTGTTTAATGCATGATAAAATATAAAAATAAAAGACAAAACAAACACCTTACGTACTGGAAAAAAAAAAAAATCAAGAGTCCATCGGTACCATACTACCAAAACCGGTCTGGATTAATTAGTTGCTACATCTTCAACGGATGCAGCCACTAATCCATCATGGTACCCCATGCCCAACGTAACTGGGAGCCATCAGCTGTGACTGTTTGCTTGGCCAAGAAGACACCGAAGGGTCTTTTGGGTCCTTCTCAAGAAAGGGATCCCGTTCCGGTCAAGCGCTGGCTCCACAGACCCGCCCGCAGCAGTCACTGGCCGTGGTCCCGAGCCAGCAGCACCTCACCATCCTGTCCTGGGAGACTGCGAGCCGTCCAAGCGGGACGGGAAGGAACGGAGCTGTGCCCCTCCGCTTTTAACCTGAAAGCAAGCCGCGGCTCTCGAGACACACCGAAGGGTTTAGGCGGTCTTTTGGACTGGAGAAGCAGGCACTTACAGTGAACACGGAGGGAGGCATGGCAGAGGGCGGGGAGGGCCGTCCAAGAGGAGCCGGGGGCTAGTCCACAGGCGCTGCCCTCGCCGAGCTGCCCGGCCTAGAGCCCACAGAGAAACAGAAACACACAGGTTCCCCGGGAAGCGAGCGGGAGGGGGCCGACCCCCACCCGGGCGCGGGGCGACAGGTGGCGCGGGGATGGTGGGTGTGGTCACTGGCAAGTCAGCCCCACCGGCTGTGGCGCGCCCACCGCGGCCCCCAACCTGGTGACGGTCCGGGTGCCCCCCCGCGAGGTGCCCTGCGCTCAGATGAGCGGGAAACGGCCCTGGCCGCCGTCGGGGTCTCCGGCACCGCCGCCTCGCGGACGGCCGAGCACCGACACGGGCAGCACGACCTCGGCAGGGCTGAGCTGCTGCAGCCGCATGGACTCCTCGTAGGTGGGCAGGTACTTGACCTCCTCGTAGCTGGGCAGCTGGAGGAAGACGGGGGCCACCGCGCGCAGCTCGTGCTCCGAGACGCAGGCGGGGGGCGGACGGCCGCCCCCTCCCCGGGCCCGGCCGCCGCCGCTCTCCAGCAGCGAGTCCTGCGAGCCCGCGGCCACCTCGTCGCGCAGCAGGGCGGGGGAGTCGTCGTCGTCGTCGCCGTCGGGGGGCCCCGCCGTCCCCGGAGGCCCGGCGCCCCCGGCGGGCCCGGCTCGCGCCTGGCCGGCTCGCGCCTGACCGCGCGGGTACCTGCGAGGGCTGGGGCAGATGATGCGCTGCAGGAAGTAGCCGATGGCGAAGAGCACCAGCAGGATGAGCAGCCCGGAGAGCTTGCGGACGAACCAGCCCACGTTGTCCAGGAAGGCGTGGAGCGGCAGCTTGCAGCAGCGCGCGGCCGTGGCGTTGGCCGAGTCGCAGCAGCGCTCCCGCTCGCCGCACGCCAGCTCGGCGCAGCCCCCGCCGCCCCGCGAGGGCGCCACCAGCGCCAGCGCCAGCAGCAGCAGCAGCGGCAGCGGCGGCTGCGGCGCCGGAGCGGCCGCCAGGCCCTCGCCGGGCACCCCGGGACCCCACATGGCCGGCGCGCCCCTCCCGCGGCCGTCCGGCACCGCGAGGCTCGGGGCTCCCTCTGGCCGGGCGCGGCGCCGGGGCCCGCGCTCGCCGCCTCCCGCGCCTCGGCTACCTGCGGCCCGAGCGGTGCTCACTTGGCCACGCCGGGGAGGGAGGAGGAGCCCGGGGCGCGCCGAGGCTGCGGGGGGCGGCTGCTGCTCGGCGCCGAAGCCGCCCCGGGAGCCGGGCACCGCGAGCCGGGGCTCCGGGGCGCCGCGGTCCCGGGCGGAGCGTGCGGAGCTTCGGGGACGAGCAGAGGCTGCCCGAGCTGGACCGCTCTGGGCATCTCGGCCGGCGACGGCCGCGCTCTCCCTCCGGCGCCTGGGTACCCCGCAGCGCTGGAAGGGTTAAGGCTGAGCTCTCAGCCCAGGAGCCCCTTGATCTTGATTAATTCAGGCAGCGCGCTCTTCCCCGCCGGATGGGCGGGGCGCGAGCGCTCGCTAACGTAGGTGTCTCGGTTTTAAGTGATTGGGTTGCCTCAGGAATATCATTTAAATTGACTCGGACCGGGTTTCGCTTACCGTCTCTTGTGATCTGTCTGATTAAAAATGGATGATGGCCATTAATGGCCAGGGCAGCCCCATTGCTGCCCTAAGGTTCCAGGGTGGGAACTACTGGATAGTTCTGCTGCCAGGTGGGCAAGTCCGGGTTGTTGGGGAGCCGGGACCCTAAGAAACTCCAGAACAGGTAAGAGAGTTCTTTGGAGGGGCTCAAGCTACAGCCTCAGAAGTAGCCCCAGAGGGGCGGAGAAGCACTCTGTTGAGGTGACCCCAGCTCACCAGCGAGAAGAGAGAAGACCCTGGCTTCTCAGAGGCTCTGGACTCAGCCCTGCGCTCCACGGTGCCCAAAGAGGACAGCGGGTATTCGAGTTGTAGGGTGCACGGGCTCCTCATGCAGCATAAATAGCTTGTCTGCGATGGCGGGAGAGTGGGGGCTGGGGGCTGGGAGCGGTAAGCAAGCGGTTGGCAAGGTTCCTGATCTCAGTCTGAGCAAATCTGAGCAAAATCTGAAGGTCTTTTTCAAGGTTATTCTTGTTTGCAAAATCCGACTTTAAAGGAAGTCTGTGTTTCTACTTAGTACTTAGGAAAGGCTCAGCGCATCCAGACCTTTTGACCCCCGGGGAAGCCACGTTGGTTGAGGCGATATAAAACAGACACAGGCACACAGGAGGACTCCCCGAAGAGAAAAACTAATGGGGAAATTTCAAGGTCGCTGTGAGGAAGAAAAAAAAAAAGTAAAAGCTAAAGGACACACAGAGACCGAACAAATCCAGTAATGAGCCAACCTTTCTCTCCTCAAGAGAAATAGATCAAGAAGATCCGGATGGGTAAGGGATGGAGATGAAAACTCTTTACTCCTTTTGGTGGGAACACCTTGCTTTGCTTCAACTCCAAAATGATGCTTTCTCTTCTAGGAGAAGTTTCCAATCGTCACTCAGACAAGAGACTGCATGGGACTTCCTTGAGCACAGGGGGTTTCTAGGCTCTCGTGAAGCCAAACCATTTTTCTGGCCATGATCTATGGGGAAGACTGGGGCCTAGTCCATACAGCTTAATCGACAGTGCTTTCAGCCTATAGCCAGATGGGGATGGAAGAGATTTGCTCTGATACAGTGCTGATTGTGTTATTTTCTGTCTCCCTGTTCCTTTGCTGAGATTACATTGAAAATGTTTACTAAACATGGTCTGTATTCAAGGAGAACTGTATTGATAAAAATAAAAATTCTCCCAAGAATGATGTGACCTCAGTTCTGCATGCCAGTTTCAAAGAACAGAGTAAGGGGAGGATTCCACAGGGAGGATAAACGCCAAGTGTCTTCTTTCTTCATGACTTTCCCAAAGCAAGACGAAATCCATGCGTTTCAAATAGTCTCAGGGATAAGGCAAGTTTGTGGCTTGAGGTGGGCTGGAATTCCAAAATGAGAGAAATGCAAAGGTCTCTTTAGGCTTGTAGAATCAGGGGTCTTGGGGTTTCTGCCAGTCATCACGGAAGTGATGGCAGAAGGACAGGAGGTGCTGGGGCATTGTGTGGCTGATGAAAGAGGAGGGTGGCCTGCTGGTTATTTTGAAATGTGAAACAAGCATTTAAAATTTTAAATTATGCTCTATATGTTTATGTGGGGGGGGGGAGAAGAATATATTCCATTCCTTCCCCCATGTAGGTCCCAGGAATCAAACTCATGCCTCTGGCCTTGGCAACAGACACTTTTACAGTTTAAGCCATCTCATTGGCCCCTAAACAACAGCATTTAATTTGTTTCATTTCTGTCTTCTTTTAATGAGTTAGAATTTGTTTACAGCATTTTAGGACACAGTTAAAGAACATAGACCTGGTCTAAAACAAATAAAAACTTTGAGAAGCCTTGCTTGCATGAAAGCAAAGAATGAGCTCTGGAACATGAATATGGAATAGAGTTTTTATTTTTGCTTTCCAAACTGATAGTCCCAAAGCCTCATCCATTAGATCCCTCTGCAGAAACTCCTTTTTTTCTCAGAGCCCTCAGTTTCACTTAATCCATCTTTACTTGCAGTGTAATTTGTTGTGCACAACCCTTTGGAGGAAGGAAAAGGAATCCTAGAACCGTTGAAGCCTCACAAGAGCTGTGTCCTCTACTTAGATTCTTTCTTCTTTATGTCTAACACACAAATGAATAGAGCAGAAAGATAGAAGTTAATTACATATTCCACAGGAAAAAGTAAAATTCGTTCAAATTTGCATCAGATTGTGTTAATAAGTGCACATGAGAGGGAAAAACCAGATAGTGAAAGGTGACCACTTTAATCCAAAAGAGCATGGTTTGCTGAAATAGAGCTTGATAAAAACTGAGAACATCACAGGCTGGGGAGATGGCTCAGCTGGTAAAATTATTACTGTGAAAGCAAGAAGAACTGAGTTTGGGTCCCCAGCAGTCATTTAAAAGCTGGGCAGGTCAGCACATGTCTGAGGTGGAGAAAGCCAGATCCTGTAGGCTTGATAGGATTAATTAGCCCTAGGTTTAGCAAGAGACTCTCGAAAAATAAGGAGGCTAGCAACTAAGGAAGACACCTGATGTCAGCCTCTGGCCTACACACACACACACACACACACACACACACACACACACAAGTAAGAGCGTGAGCTGTTCACAGTGGCATATGTGTTCCTGGAAGCTGTCCTGATAACTCAAGAAGAACTGAGCGGATCCACCATGAAACCTCTTGTAGCTCATCACGCTGGAACAGAAGAGACTTTTCTTCCTCATATGTGCTGCCCATGGGCTCTTGCCTTCAGGCCCAAGATACAAGCCTAACCTTTCCATGCCCCTTCTTCAAAATGTCTAGGCATGAGCAGTTTGGAACATGTAAACAATCCAGTGTGTAAGCAGCTCTCAGGATGTGCAGCGTGGTCCTTCTTGCTGAGATTGCATTGCTATAGTTGACATATTAGGCACCCTCCTCTTGTGGCTTCCCTTCACTTGTAATAAACCTTCCCTGAATAACAGTTGAGGGTTTTGTGTATATTTGTATGAATATACACAAATCCCTAGAAATGATTTGTGACCTCAGATAATCTGCTTTGGAGTTTAAAAAAAAATGTTTTTATCAAACTTCTTCCCTCACTCAAAAGTATTTAATGTGGGCCCTTCTCTGAACTAGGTACTCTGTCCCACCCTGGGAATGTTATGAAAGCAAGCCTTTCTCTGTCCTCTGGGAGTTTATTGGAGAGGGGTTAGAACACAACAGAAAAACGGTCAAAGTAAGGAACTGACATCCCATTCTGAATGCCTGTGCTGGGCAGTGTGCCTCCTGCAACATTTGCTGCTGTAGATGGGCTTTAGGCCACTAACGATAACTCTACAATCAGTCTCAAATCCAACCTGCTTCCCTTCAGTGGTCTAGGAAAAAGATTGCAGGGCTTCCTGTTCTTCCTGTCTTCCAGTTCTTGACTGGGGTGTAATTCAGATTCCCTCTTTCAACATTATGAGTTCCTAACTAGCCAACAAAAGGCTTCTTCAAGCCACATGCTAGGAGAAAAAAGAAATCTAAGATGCTAGAAGGAAATGGAGTGCTTTCTCCAGGATTGGAGTCGGAAACAAAAGATTGAGAAATTACAAGGCCTTATGAACACAGGGTCTCAATATGTAACCACAGGTTGGACCTGTATTTGCTTTTACAAGTTTTCTAAGAAATTTCATGTACATTGCTTTGCTTTTCTCCTTATTCAGTGACTATGAGATAGGTTAGGCTATTATTATCAAGCTAACATAGGTTAAAGTACGTGAATTGGGCTGAGGATGTAGCTCATTGGTAGAGTACTTGCTTAGCATGTGAGAGACCCAGGATTCAGTCCCTAGAACCACAGACAGACAGATGGACAGACAGACCCACACCTGAATCAGCACAAATTCCTGACAGTACTGAAAGTGGAACCCAAGGCCTGTCAATCTAGGTCTAGCTGGGAAGGCTGGGTGGGCAGCTCACCCCCTTATTGAATTGGACCAATGCAGGGAGGGATGTTATTCTTCACTTTGACAACTCCTACAATATGGAAGAAGGAAATCACGAGACTAATGAGGAAACTGGGCACCATGTCCCTTAATCCCACCACTCCAGAGGCAGAGGCAGGCAGATCTCTGAGTTGCAGCAAGTTTCAGGACAAACAAAACAAAACAAAACTCTTGAGGGTGAAGCTGGAATTAGTCTAGACCATGAATACAAAAGAATTCTGAAACAAAACTTTTATGCCTGTCATTTTGTGGCCACTTTTAGTAACCAGTTACTAATGCTTTAGGTAATAATGTGTTCAAGTCGCTGTTTTTGTTTATATTTCTGCAAATAAATAAATTCTCTCCTGCGTTGCAATTAAGCCTCCCAATGTCACAAGTCACCTAATGCTAATCAATATGAAATTCTATACATACTTTTGAAAATAAGGTCCATTGAGTTTTAAAGCAAATAAATATATAAAATTATTTACTAATGACTTAAATTTCTGTATTTTTTATTGATTTATTTTTTTGTTTCAGGGATTGAACCTTAGGGTCCTGCATATGCTAGGTTGGAAGGGTCACAGCTTTCATCCCGACCCTCATGCTAGGACTCCAGGCTGTTTAACCACTGGTGGTGGTCAGCCCTTGAGGTGAAGCTATGGGGTGCTGGGGAGGAAGAGGCTGAGCTGGTGGTGGGGGCCTGGGACCTGAGGCTGCTTGACCTCTGAGCTGTTGTATGTAACTAGCCAGGGGTGTGTGCCCGTGTTTGTGTGTGTGTGCTGTACGTGTGACACAAGTATGCAGGTGAATGGAGAGTCCAGAAAAAGGCACCCAGATCCTTGGAACTGGAGTTCCAGGCAGTTGTGGGCCACCTGGAATGAATGCTGGGAACCAAACCTGCTTTCCCTGAAAGAAGAGCGTGTGCCCTGAACTGCTGAACTCTCGCTCCAGACTCCAGCCCCGAGCTTTTGTTCCATAATAACTTATCATCTAATTTCTCATGGCAACCTTGTAGAAGAGGTTGATAACATCCGCCTTATTGCTGACAGTATGAAAGCTAAACCATGACCATTATGAGAAATACTTAGTGAGGCCCTGGCTGGCTGAAATCAGAATTCCAGTTATGTTAACTGAATGAGTTTCTTCATGCTCGTTGAAATTGTTAGATTGTTGAAGTTAGAATACATTTTTTTTTCCCAGAGGCTGATGGCATAGCCAAATGCTCACGTTGGCAGAAAAATCATACAGCATGAAATTATTTCCTAAGAAGAAATAATTTCAGGAGGTACAACATTTTTATGGTCCATTATTTTCACTTGAAGCTGGCAATACACCTTCTCATAACAAGGGGAACTGCTCATTGCATCCTGCCTTGCACCACATTCTCTATAAGCCTGGGGGCCTCGTGATGGTTCCCGCTCCTGCTTCTGCGCAGACTCTGTGCCGGTGGCACGACTCTGTCCTGTTGCTGGGGACACAACACCTGTCACAGACAACTTAACAGTGAAAGGAGTACTGTCTTGTGCTTCAAAGGTTTCAGTTCATAGCCTCGGGCTTCACTGATTCTGGGTCCCCGATGAGGCAGAACATGATGGAGGTGGGACCACATGACAGGGAGTACTGACGTCATGGTGGACAGGAAGCAGGAAGAGCTCAGAAGGAGACACAGCCGTCATGATATGAATTGATCTCCCAACGTGTCCACCATCTCCCACAATTGCACCATAGGCTGGGGACCAAGCCTGCAAGACAGGACCTTTTGGCAGGGGAGACTCCATATGTAAACTATAGCAACTATAGGTCCATCTAACCAGCATCCTTCCAGGGCTGAATGTAAGAAACTAATCCTCCTCCAAGACATCTGTCCTAAAAGATTTTCAGTCTACCCCACATATTTGAAACTTCTTCCAGCAATTCTCATAGAAAATTTATCCAATCATGGGTTTAAGAGGACACCTCAAATATAATCTGAACCTTCTTTCCTGCTTTCTACTCCTTTCCTTTGTGCACATTTGCTTCTACGAGTAGCTGCCTGGTTCAGCTGCTCAACACCCATTTGTGCGATTGTCACAAAGCTTTCTCTGTGAGGCCAGCGGGAATGTTTTCCCTGTCTTTGCAGTTCAAAACCATACAAGACACACAAAGCCTGATGATATCTCTTCAAAGCCTTCCATGTCCCCAGCTCCACCTTCCTCAGCTGGAAGCTATGCTTCTTCATGATCCCTTAGCACCATCTCCTGTGCGAGGCACTTCTCTCTGCCTCACATTTCTGGTGCGCATGTACACACCGTAAGCTTA